AGATTACAGGAACAGCTAAATTATGGGGGGAGTTATGAGCCTGAAAAAAAAGGGAAAGAGCGAAATGAAAAGGAAAATTCACCAGCATCAATGACTGATGGATGGATGAAACCCAGTAAATATATTTTGCTTATTTGTTTGGTTGTTTCATGAGGTTTTGTATTTTAAGTAAATCCATAGGTGTGGGTGAGAAAGATGGTAAAGATGGTAAAGACTACAATGCTGTAGTCGAAGCTACAGGGACACCTCCACCAGAACCGCCAAAGAACCAGGAATCTGCTTTGAGACCTTTAACAACGCTAACACAAAACAGCACAAGCAGGAGCGCCGGCAGCTTTTCTGCCGCCCTAGGCAGCGGAAGGTCCAGCCCCGAAATCGCCGCCCCCCCCCCCACACCGAGCCAGCGGAAGGTCCCGCCACTGAAATACCGCCACGGTCGCCCTAGGCGACCGCCTAGGTCGCCTAATGGGTTGCGCCGGCCCTGAGCACAAGGGTGCAGATGAAGCATGAGGGCAGTCCAAACCTCATATACGTCAAACCCAAGGACAAAACAAAAGACTCTGGTAAAGACCAACCACGCAAACACAACTCCAGTTCCTCAGCGGCCACCGCCACACCAAGCCCTGAGAAACTGAGCACAACCGCTCACATTCACAAACCCAGAGCACGCGCTCTAGGGGTTGTGAATAAAAAACCAAGGACTGACAAACCCATTCTCCCAACACCATAAGCTCGTCACAGCTCCCCCATATTCTAGTATTTGGGGAAAGTATGATGCTTCATTCAGAAAACTAATGAAGATTTGGGGAAAATATGAGGCTTTGTTCAGAATACTGGTGGCTGCTATATCCTCAGGGGGTCTAAAAGAAAGGAGGGCTGGAAACCACGTCAAAAATGCAAAAGCTCTGGCAGGTGACTTTTTGTAAAATGCTTCAATTTTTCCAAAAGGGGGCTCTGAGCAGGCATGAAAGGGAAAGGGGCCTGGGTAAAAAGGGCACCCTCAAGGGTATTCATCAGCTCAGGTGTAAACAAAAGGGGGACAGCTCTTGGTGGACAAACAAATGGCGGCCAAAAAGTTCCAGGCCAGGGTCTCAGTAAAAATTTTAAAAAGGGCTGAAGAGGTAATGAGGAAAAAAACCAAAAAGAGATGCCCCCTACTGGAGGCTCTCAAACTGGCTTGTCTGAAAATGGGGAGGTGGAACCCGACTCTCACGCAGAGTCTGGTTTAGAAAATTCCCCAGAGGGCTCTCTAGAAGGTCCCCGTCTGCTCCTGATGACCCTCACGGAGGCCCCTCGGAGTCTGACTCTCAAATAGCATCTGCTGTAGAAGATGCCGCTGACGGTCCCATAGAGGAACCCCCAAGTAACCCTGAAAATGCAGAGGTGTATATGGAGAGAGTGAGAAGTTGTCAACGTGAATTACCTAGATTTGGGGGGTCGGTGTATTGTGAGGAATTTCATTTTGTCAATCCTGAGGGAATAAATTCAGCTCAGCAGGTTGTTGAAACCATACACAGGGGAAAACAGTTAGTGCCGGATGGCGTTTTGAGCAATTATTTTCACTAGGCTTGATCTTTCATTAATCCCT